AAACCCTATACCCTAAACCGTCCCTGAACCCCCAAGGCTCTAGACCAAGCCGATATCAAGTGCTAAGCTTCTTGAGAGCCCCCCTTTAGGCCGCCCTCAGTCGGAAGCCTTGTGTCCAGGGCTTAAGGAGGGTCTAGGGTTTATTTAGGGTTCGGGGTTTAGGGTTGGGTGTATATAGGGTTTAGGGTTTAGGGTGTCTTGCAGTCTCATTTGTATGTATCGTGCTTCAGGGTTTTAGAGGCTTTGGGTTTAGGGTTTACGGGGGTTTAGGGTTGTTATGTGCTTCATTCCAGGACATTTTCAGGTGTGTAGTTACCGTTATAGATGCCTTATAGAAGCCCTATATACCCTAACCTCCCCACCTGTAGTTTCCTTTAAGTTATGTGCTTCATGTACAAAGCATCATGAACCCTAAACCCTAAACCCCGAAACCCCTAACCCCTAAACCCCTAAACCCCCAAACCCCTAAACCCCAAACCGTAAACCCCAAAACCCTAAACCCTAAACCCCAAAACCCTAAACGCTAAACCCCGAAACCCCTGACCCCTAAACCCCTAAACCCCTAAACCCCAAAACCCTAAACTCCAAAACCCTAAAACCCTAAACCGTAAACCGGACAAAGCATCGCCCGATTTCGGAAGCATTGGTGGGCCCGGGAGCCCCTGGGCCCTTAAGCCCGAGCCTTAGACCCAAAATGCGGCTTAGGGTTTAGGGTTTAGGGTTCAGGGTTTAGGGTTTAAGGTTTTAAGGTTTAGAGTTCAGGGTTTAGGATTTAGGGTTTAGGGTTTAAGGTTTTAAGGTTTAGGGTTTAAGGTTTTAAGGTTTAGGGATTAGGGTTTAGGGGTCTAGGGTGCCCTCCCTGAGCCATTTCCTCATGCGGCCCAGGGAATCTTTTGCGCCACTCCAGGGGCCGTTATTCTTGGGGCAGCGACCTCATTGTTTGGTTCTTATGGGCGAACGAATGCGAGCTTTAAGCCCTAAGCCCTAAGCCTGATAAGCCCTAAACTTTAAAGGGTTTAGGGTTTAGGATTTTAGGGTTTAGGGTTTAGTTTAGGGTAAGCCCTAACCTCCAGAGGGTTTAGGGTTTCGGGCCTAAGTTCAGGGTGATGTCAGGGGGCATGAAGTAGAGGCTTTGGATCGTTCGTTTCCCGAGGAATGGCAAGGCCCATGGCTTCTATGACCCTGACGGTCCAAACATACCACCATCATGGAATTTAGCCATTCTCGCTTCTAATCATGGCCTTGGGGAGCCCTAATTCCATAATCGTAGTATACATATCTATGCATATAAAGAAACAATATATATATATACACACACACATACATATATATATATATACATATATATATATAGACCCTCTTGGTGAAGTCACGGAGAGGGAGTCGCAATGTCTTGGGGTGTAGGGTGTACGCCTGGCTCCTGAGGCGGGAAGTCGACAGTCGGTTCCTGCTACTACTACAGCCTCGATCATTCGAAGAGGGGGTTTAGGGTTTAGGGTTTAGGGTTTAGGGCTTGTGTAAACTAAAAATGTAATTATCTATTCTTTTTCCATGGAACTATGGAACTATCAGGGGATACTACGGTTGATGATACAAATCCTGCATTACCCCTGAAAAGGAGTATACCGTAATTCCCATAGTTTGGGGTCCTTAAGGAAATGCAGGATTTATATCATCAACAGCATTGGCAGGATCTCAACGGAATAGGGTTCAGGGTTTAGGGGACGGAATATCCCAAACCCAAACCCTAAACCCTAATCCCGTGCTGCGGAGAAAGGATTATTGCACTTAAACAAAAACACTCGCCCCGTAATCCTTCGCGAGTTTGAGGGGCTTCCATGGTCCTGGGATGGCCGTAAATCGCTGTGCATCCCGGTGATCAAACTTGATATGCTGGGTCTCCGAACTCGGCGATCGAATCAAAGATGAAGCCTGATCATGGCCTAATCGCATCAAAAGCTAGACCTACAAAGGGGGACTGTTGGAATCTGTTTCGAAGCCTTGTGTTAATGTGACACTAGATGCATAGAATCTTCCACGATGACCTTCGAGGCTTGGCTAGATTTAGGGGAGTTCAAAAATCACGTGCTGAAGATTTTAGCTTTCAGTGAGGTCTTCGTCGCTTGGGCAGGAAACCCTACACCCTCGTGACAACCCTGGGCCTAAACCCTGAGGCCGTCGTTGTTGTGGCTTTCGTCATCGTCGCGCACTGCGCCGCAGTGGCACAGTTTTTGGCCGTCCGGATCCCAGCTATTCCTCTGCTGCTCCTCGAGCTGCATACTGTACAGGCCTGAATGATTAGGACTAAGAAAAGGATAATGGGGCATGATAGATAGATGATATCGATTAGCATAGGATCTTGGGGGATTTTAGATATTGTTTAGATACTGTAAGCATATTTCTTGGGATCCGGGTAGCCCTTCGGGTTTGTTGCATCGTGCACGCTGCTATCCTGCTCCGGTGCTTGTGTTACAGGCCTGACTGTACCCAGCTCTAGGGCTGCCTTTTAGAGTTTAGGTTCTGGGAATCAGAGTTTAGGATTGAGGGTCTAGGATTTAGGGTTTAGGGTTTAGGGTCTGGGAATCAGGGTTTAGGACAAGTTTAGGATTGAGGGTTTAGGATTAGGGTTCAAGGTTTATGGGATTTTAGTGGCCTTTTAGGGCTCAGGGTCTAGGAATCAGGGTTTTAGGATTGAGGGTCTAGGATTTAGGGTTCAAGGTTTAGGGGATGTTAGTGGGATCCCCAAAGACCACCTGAAGACGAGGGTCTAAGATTTGAGGTTTTCTGGCCCCTGCTACCCCAGAGCTACGGCTGATGATATAAATCCATACTAGGGAGTCTACCATAATTCCCGTCGTTTAGGGTCCTTAAGATAATAATCCATAATAGGGAGTCTACCATAATTCCTCATAGTTTCGGGTCCTTAAAGGGAAATGCAGGATTTGCATCATCAGCCGTAGGAATCCCCTTGGTTTTGGTGCTTTTTGTTTAATGGAATGATCATCGACATGTTAAATGGAACCTAACCCCTAAACTCGAAGATCCAGCAAATCCGAATCCATAGATCCAGGAGGAACCTCAAAGTCGCAGGGCGAGATTCGGCAAGAAGTTGCGAGATATGGAGAAATCCTAGTCTCGTCGTAACATAATTTCATACAGGGTAACATATCTATATACCTATATAGTTATATATGTATATATGTGTATATATGATACGTATATATATATATATAATATTATATATGTATATTTACATACCCGGACTTTCGGTTCCTTTAACTCCTAGCTTCAGTCGTGATTGCCCACGACAGCATTGTGGGTGACAGCCGCTAAGTAGTGTGAAGATGCCTTGAGCCACGGCAAAGCCGGAATCCGAGCCTCCAGATATCATGCCTTAGGGCCTTAGCATCAAAATAGCCCAAAGTCTTAAACAAAATAGTGTCCTCGGGCCCAAAAGCCTTAAAACAAGAGTCCTTTGAGGGTAAGGGTTAGGGTTCAGGGCCTGTTGCCCTGAGGGCCCAGGCGTTCCAAGCTAAGTTCGATCCCACGGGAAAGGGTGGGAACCTTTGTCTCCCGATCTCATGGGCCCCAAAAGGTTCAGGGGTTCTAAATTCGAGTCCCTTGATTTTGGGTTTAGGGTTGAGCGTTTAGGGTTCCTCCGTGAGTCCTCAGGATCGTGGTAGAAGAGGCTGACCGAATCTAGAGTTGTCAGCATTAGGAGTCAGGGCTTCAAGCTTCAACTTCTTTCCGTTGAGAGGTCTGCAAGAATTCGGGCCTACGAATGCCTACGTTACATCCACGAAAGCCAAGAGTCTGACATCCTTATCTACACAGACTCGAAATCGACATTCTCAAATTTGAATTACTACCGCCCAGAGGCTTCATAGTAGCTCCTTTTTGTGGGTGATATGTAGGGTCCTATAAGGTATTCCCAAAAAGGGGCTACTATGGAGCCTATGGGTGAAGTCCCAAAGCCTTCCCCAAACCCTAAGCCCTAAACCCTAAGCCCTAAACCCTAAGCCCTAAACCCTTAACCGACACCCCTAAGCCGTCTTCTGACAAGGCCAACGGACCCGGCGCTGCGGAACATATGCCTCATGGTCCGGAGCCCTATTTAGGGGTTTAATGTTTAGGGTTTTAGGGTTTAGGGTTGCCCTGCTGTTTATACCCAGAAGGTCCTATGTACTGTTATGGGGGATGCTACAGTAGTAATTCCTATATATACATTGCAGCCGCCAATCTCTCTATATGATCGCAATAGTCCTATCATTTAAAAAGCTTAATGGCGTGAACCAAAACACACATACACATGTATTAGTCATGCAATGCGTATTAGGTAGGTAGGTAGGTAGGTAGGTAGGTAGCTAGCTAGCTAGCTAGCTAGGTAGGTAGGTAGGTAGGTAGGTACGTATATGTATGTATAGAGGGAGTGAACCTGGGTCGGTCATGAACGAGATCCTGTTCAGACCAGTGGGTCTTGAGGTTCATGTGGTGGTGAGTGTATGTAGGGCGGACGTCCTCGGAATGTTGGCGCGTGTATCCGGGTAGTTCTAAGGGTCCAATTATGAAAAGGGTGCCGTACTACATTGGGGACCTAAAAGGGACCCTTAAAAGGGGCTCTAATTTAGAATAAGAAAAGCACTTAGGGGCTGAGTAGGTAACCTTTAGCTCATAGTCCTACTATAGTTTAAAAGGTTAACCTTCTTTGAGCTAGGGTACTCAGTCCCTAAGGACATGTTTCGTATTGTTGCGTGTGCAAACTCTGAATTTCAGGTTCAAGGCATCGAGCCATCTGAGATCCGGCATCACGCCGCAGAGATGCGCAAGTATTCTAAAACGGTGGGTCGCATGTTGTTTAAGGCCATTGCGTTTACTTAGGTTTGAGGGCAACATTTGTAGCCTGAAGCTTCATACATGACAAGTAGCTTTCATGGCTGAACCATGGATGCTGAAGCCTTGAACCTCGCGGACTGTTCCTCGCCCATTTGAGCGATGTTTCCATGGCACTGTCCAACGAGTCGGAATCTGTTCTTCGCGTCTATGGGATATCTGGTGATCCTTGGCTTGGGGTGAGGGTTTGGTACTGATTTCACGATGCTGATGCTAGTGATTAAGACCGCTAAACCCTAAACCCTACGCCCTAAATCGCTAAACCCTTGCAAGTAGTGAAGCCCCGATCACTGGGCTGGGTGCTGATCTGAATCCCGATTCCTTGTTTCGGATTTAGGGTTTAGGGGTTCAGGGTTTGGGATTTTAGGGTTACCTAAACCCCCCCAAAAGTAGGTAAAATAATGGCCCAAGACCCATAAAAGGCTACTATTTTACATGCTTTTGGGGGTCCAGGTAGGGCCAAGGGCTTAGGCTTCGGGATTTAGGGTGTAGCAGTTTAGGGTGAACGAGTCTCCCCCGACAGCCGAGCCAGATTGCAGCAACAGTCCTCGAATCTTCCAATACCTCTTAATTACAGTTGATGATATAAATCCTGCATTACCTTAAGGACCCAAAACTATGGGAATTATGGTATGTTCCTATTAGGGGTAATGCAGGATTTATATCATCAACCGTATGGCATACACCTTAAGTTATAGCCCTAAACCCTACACCGTTATGGTTTCAAGAGTATTCCTTAGTTGGGGTTGGAAGATTTGAGGTCTGGAACGCGCATGTCTGCTGAAGAGGGTTTAGGGTGGAGGGTTTCCCTAAACCCTAAACCTCTATATAAGAGGGTTGAAGGGTTTCCCTCAATCCTGAACCCTAAACCCCACGGGGAGTTTAGGGTTTCCTGAACCCCTAAGAGGGTTTAAGGGTGCTTTTAGCCGAAACTGGGAATCAGGGGCCCGACCGAAACCTTAACTTGTACGACAAAGACCATAGAAAATACTATCCCATACTGTACTTTTCTGTACTGTTCTATACTATTCTGTGCTATAGTATACTATACTAGACTATACTATACTATACTATACTGTACTATACTGTATCATTTACTATACTATAGTATACTAAACTATATACTGTCCTTGTGCACATACTGTACTATACAATACAATACAATACAATACTATACTATACTATACTATACTAGACTGTCTATGCTATACTATACCATACTATACTATATTATATACTATACCATACTATAATATAATATACTATACTAAACTGATACTGTACTATACTATATATAATAAAATCTATGATGCGAGACCGTTTTCACAGAACGCATTGCCCTGAAGCCTATACCCTAAACCCTAAACTCAGGAAATTGTGGCGAGCCTCGATGCAGAAGAGCGAGCCGCCATGTCGACAGAGTTTGGAAATTCAGTGGGTGCCTTGATACTTGGCTCCCCGGGCTTTCGGCTTAGGGTTTAGAGTTTTGGGTTTAGGGTTCAGGGTTCAGGGTTTTTAGGCTTTGGGTTTAGAAGGATTCCATCGAGCTTTCAACACCCCGCTTGAACGCAGTACTCTGCCACGGCCCAAATCATAGACGTCTAGTTTTTGTTCCAAAATTCCCAAAGCTTGTTCTAATTATTCCGACCCCTTTATTCTAAGAGAACCCGTTTCGAAGCTGTCACGACCGAATCCGTTTGTCTACAGGAAAGAGCTGCTGCAGCTTCGTCTCGGGACACCTCGCTTCCGCATCCGGCTGCTCTGCAGGGGCTGCCTGTTGGAAAATGTTCCTTTGCTACACCAAGCCCTTCACCCTTAACCCTATATCCGAAACCCTATTCCAAAACGCACTATTGCTTCACCAGCGAGGGTTGATGGGTTCCGGCTCTGCGACCAGAGGTTAACTTCTACGTTCAGGGCTCATACTACAGTCTTTTCTTCATGTAACATAGTATCCCAGACCCCCGGGAGTATCCAAAAAGTAGATCCCTCAAGGGGGTTCCTATAAAGTACCCTTTAGTAGTTAGGGTCCCAAATTAGGGGATCTACTTTTCTAGATCCTCCCGAGGGTCTGGGATACTATGCTATATTATAGGATACTATAGCATCAATGTCGTTCCAAGTTTGGCAGGGGTCCATGTGCCCAAATAGTATATACTTTGGCCCCGAAGTGCTCATTTGTGGACTACTAAAAGCCCAAAGTATATACTGTACTATTTGGGTACATGAGCCCTTAGGGTAAACCCCAAACCCCAAACCCTAAACCCTAAACCCCAAACCCTAAACCCTAAACCCTGAAGAAGAGAAGCCCCAAACCCTAAGCTCCTCCCTAACCCTGCAAAAAGCGGCACCGCTAAGGACGAGTCTATCTTTGCCTGGGACTTTCCGAACGACGTGCAAGTGGCGCAACTTTATATTGAGGATCTAGGGCCTTCAGGGTTTTATAGAGAGTTTAGGGTTTAGGGAGTTTAGGGTTTAGGACTTTTAGTATTAAGGGCCTTTAGGGTTTAGGGTTTTATAGGGCGCTCCGGCTTTGGCTTGTGAGGTTTGGCTTTTCGGGTTTCTCCACGTTTCCTAAGGTCGTCCTCGTGCCGGTGCGAGCTGCCACAGAGGAGGAGCGAGGACAAATGTTCCACGCCATCCGCACGTCCAGCTCGAATCAGGCCCTCTGGAACCCTAAACGGTTTAGGGTTTAGGGTTTGGGGGTTTAGGGGTTTAGGGTTTAGGGTTTAGGGTTTAGGGGTTTAGGGGTTGGGGTTTAGAAACGGTATCTCTTCGCGAACCATGCTGAAGTTTACCTACTCTCTCCACTGCAGTTGCTTGTTGGCTAAAGCAAAAACGAACTACAATGGAGAATACAGGTACTTCAAGGATCCTGGGACTTAGTAAGTAAGGTTAAAAGTACCTTAATTGGAGATATTTTCTCAAATATAACTACAGTTACCTTATTTATAACCCCAGTTACTAAGTCTCATGATCCTCTAAGTAGAAGGTGGAGTTCAAAGCCACAGGAGCCCCGGATCTAGGACCTCAAGCGCGGACGCTTTGGTCTAGAAACCGGAGTTATGGTTCAGGATGTAGGGTTTAGGGTTTAGGGCTTAGGGGTTATGGTTCAGGATTTAGGGTTTAGGGTTTAGGGTTTAGGGGTTATGGTTCAGGATTTAGGGTCTAGGGTTTAGCAGTGTACCTGTTGTCTTCCCCATCCAGCCGATCATTGACTTATGTAATGTGGGGCTCGGTGGTCTGTATGTAGTAATTACTGTTATTTCCTTGTTATAGTCCTCGTGTGCTTTGGCCATACATAATATACCGCGACATCCTAGTTCAAAGGGTCCAAGGTTTAGGGTTTAGGATATAGGGTTTAGGGGTTTAGGGGTTTAGGGCTCAGGGCTAAGGGTTTAGGGCTTAGGGTTCAGGGTGTAGTTTAGGGGTTAGTTACGGTGCAGGGCTTCATGTTCCCCAGACTCCCCCCAGGAAAGCCGTACAAGCTGCAACCTGGGACACCCCCGCAAGGTTGGAGGTGTAGTTGGGAGGTATCGGGTTTACGGCTTGGGGTATTATCCCTAAACGCGAAGGCTACCACAAACCCTATACTCCTTAAACCGAGCATAGGGATGTACCGATGTACCCATCAGAATCTGCGATTTCAAAACCGTGCCCCAAGCCCTAAACCTTACCCTGAACCACCATCTGGGACTTGAAGAGGTGGAGGCACTCCTTCATGCGCCTCTGGATCCGGACATCTGATGCGGCATTGGCATCTGTTTTTGTGTTTGTGGTTTAGGCTTTAGGGCTGTGGTAGTTGTTGCTGCTGCTGGAGGAGGTTTATTGAGGCTGAAGTTGCCAGCACGTAGCAAACGGGCACACTTGTGGTGAATGGCTGCACATTTTGGGAAAATGTACTCCCCTATAGAACTGAAAGTCTACACTTTTTTGTGCTTATGAAGTCAGAAACTAAGTTTCACCTGAGGGAGTAGGTGTTCTCTGTGCATCGGGGCTTGGGACCAAGGACAGTGTGTGCAACCAGCTGGGGCAGACGGCTCTCATCCACGCAGCACCCGGGCTCTGGACTTGTTTGGACCTGACGGTCAAGGGTTTAGGGGTTAGGGGTTCGGGGTTCCTTAACGGAACCATTAGGAAATGAAAGGCCCTAAACCCTAAAATAAACCCTAAACCCAAACCCTAAACCCTAAACCCTATAATTTCCAAACCACGGGTTTCAAAGCCCAGGCACCGGTCAGCAGCGCCGCCTGCGTCCGATCCCTGCTCGAAGCCCGGGCTGGCCTGGACAAGACCGACAGGCCGATAGGAGACGAGTTAGGGTTCAGGGTTTAGGGTTTTAGGGTTTAGGAGTTTATAGGGGTTTAGGGTTTATAGGGGTTTAGGGGGTTAGGGTTTTCGCGTTTAGGGTTTAGGGGTTTCGCGTTTAGGGGTTTGGGGGCCGAGATACGGCTGACGCTAAAAAATCCTGCATTACCCTTAATAAGGAATATACCATAACTCCCATAGTTTAGGGTCCTTCAGGTAATCCTAAGGATTTCTATCATCGACAGTAGGAGCCGAGGAGTGTCTGTTGTAGCTTTTCTGGCTGCTTTATCGGGTCCTAAAACCCTAAAACCCTCAACCC